CCCCTCTCCAGCCCCAGCAGTGGGGCTCAGGACCTGGCTCCCTGAAATCCCAGGAACTTCCTGTGCTCTCAGGCAGGGCATCCCCAGGCAGCAGGAGCTGTTGGGGACTCAGGTTGTCAGTGCTGGCTTTGCTGTGCTAGCCAGGAGCCTGCTTTGGGGAAATGGGGGGTCCCCACGGGCAGGGAGATCTGGGCAGTCTGAGGCACTTAGCAATGTCTGTAAGTCTGTCTGTCCTGTATTAAACTCTTCCCTCCCAAAACAGCCCAGGGACTGGTCTCTCCCTGTAGCTTCTAGCCAAGGGTGGCAGATGGTGTGCTGTGGGCCCCAGATAACTGCCCCAGGTGGGAACGGTGGGCTCTGAGGGGAGGACGGTAGCTGGGGACAAGGGGGTGAACAGGTTGGCCTGTCCTGCTGGCTGCCCTGCTGCTTTCTGCCAGAGCCTGGGGCAGGATCTGGCCCCGAGCACAGAGCCTTACTGCAGGGAGCAGTGCTGAGTATGGGGCACCCCTGCTAGGGCTGTGCTGCCCCTGGCTGAGGCAGCACGTGGGAGTGCCACGGGCCAGCTGGGGAAAGGGCAGCGGGACGAACTGGAGGCTGTTTCTAGATACGTACGTTGCCTTGTGTTTATGCCTGGTGCCAAGTAGTCCTCTTGTGATGCTGGTGTTTCCCACGAGTCTGGAAGGAGGGTGGGGAACAGCTCTGAGCAGGGTCTGGGCTTCTCTGCTGCGGGTGCCTCTGCCAACATGGCTTTGACTGCGTGGGCAGAGCACGGCTGGGAGCGTGCTCAGGGTTGCTTCTGTCCGGCTAGCCGCAGCTGCCCAGCCTTGCACGTGCTGTCCCTGGGCGAGCGTGCCCTACAAGCTGACTTCACAGTGCCTTCTCTCTCTCCTTTGACAGGATGGCAAAGCACCCTGACATGCTGGAGTGGCCCTCTGTTACCTGGGTTGCTCCTGCCGTGACTCCTACAGCTTTCTAGAGACTGTGAGCCGGGGCAGCTCCTCCACTGCTGGCAGGAAACATATCTTGGGAATAACCTGCTTGCACCTTGCTGGGGTTGGACTTCCCTTGCCCATGGGGATGTGGTGGTGGGGATCCCTGGATCTGTTCTGCACCCAAGGGGGAGGTGTGTGAAACCCAGCACTGGGTGCTGAGGCATGCGCAGGAGCACCCGTGTCTGCCCTGTGAAAGTGAGTGCTTGTAGTGTTAACAGCAAAGAGGTGGCTGCATGTGCAGAGAGGGTCCGTGCCTGGGCACAAGCTGAGGGTGTGCAGAGGCTCCTGGGCTGGGGGCTCCAGCCGCAGCACCCCTGGTGCCGACCCTTCTCTGCTGGTGCTCCCTGCAGCTGCCTCCTCCCTGCTGCAGAGGTCCTGGGTGCTTTTTCTTTGGCCCTGGCTGTCCAGGGGCAGGCCCTGGAGGGCACAGAGGAGTCCTTTGGCCCTTTCCCGTGCCCCTGGTGGTCCCCTTTCTCCCCTTTCAGGTGGGTGCAGAAGGTCTGGGGCCCGGGCTGCCCAGGTGCCTCCTGTACCTGGTAGCTTCAGCTGGAGTAGGGCAGGGGCTGGTCCCTCAGGGGCCACCTCATCCTGTGTCAGCAACAACTGGGACTTTATAAAATAAACCTCCAAAACACCTCCACACCTGGCCACCTGCTGCTGCGGGGGGGGGAGAGAAGGGTCCCTTCTCCTGGAGCACACAGCTGGACTGGAGGAAGTGCTGTCTCCCAGTGCCCAAGGTTGGGCGGAGGTGTCCTGGCAATGGCAAGGGGCGGTGCTTCAGGGGCGGCGCGGGAGGCTGAGCCTGGCATGGGGCCGGAGGGGGCGGCACGGGCCTGTGCGCCCTGGTGCTGGAGCCATGAAGCAGCAGGAAGGGGCCAGCCGCCACTGTCTGCGCCTATTTCCTGTGCGTCTCGCTGGCTGCGCTGCTCCTCGTCATCTACTACGGGCTGGTCTGGGCACCCCGTGGCACCGGGAACGGCACCGAGCAGGGCCCTGCTGCCCACTCGACCCTGCTGCTCTGCAATGGCTCTGCTGCCGGCATGGGCTGAGGGCCCTGGGGACATGGCCCCGTGCTCCGGGGAACCGGGTGCTCCAGGGTGGCTGTCAGGGCTGCAGCCTCTGCAGGGACAGGGCTGGGGATGGAGGAATCCTGCAGGGAGCTGGGCACTGCCTCTGGGATGCAGTTCCCAGCCTGCGAGGAGACTGTAAAGGAGGTTGGAAGAAACTGGTCCTGCTTGGGGGTTCCTGGCAGCGGCTGGTGGGGCTCTGGAGGAGGTTTGGGGCTGAAAGGAGGAGGGCAGGAGTGCCTGGGTAACACACAGTCCTGCCTGGCTGGGAGTCTTGCTGGGAACAGGGAGGCTCTTACTTAATTGCTGCAGGACCTTGTGACTTCCCCTGCACCAGGAGGATACGGCTGGTCACATCCTGCTCCTGTGGGGACACAGGGTGGTTCGGGGCAGCCAAGCAGTTAGCGGGTTCCGGCTGGGACGGAAGGAGAATACGCTTAGAACCAAGGCAAAACAGCAGCCACGGGCGGCTCTGAGCCAAGATGTGTTGAGAGACGTCCTCTTCTCCAAATGTACGTGACTTGGAGCGAGACCTCCTCAGCCCTCCTCCTTGGATGCTAACAACGCTTCTGTGCATTGGAATTCGCCCTGGACTGAGGAGCCAAGCAAGACCCAGAGCTCAACAGCCTTTTCCCGGTCGTCCCAGCCCCAGGTACTGCACTCGCTCTTGCCAGCTCCCTGTGGCGTGGCGTAGCCATGGGTTTGTGCTGGGATGGGCAGTCGGTTCCCTGTGCTGGAGCTCTGGGCATGACGCCCAGTGACAGCAGAGGGTGCTGAGAGACCTCGGCTCTCGCTGCCCTGTGAGGATGGATGCAGACAACAGCCCGACAGGGCAGACCCAGGCATCCTGGCCCTGATGTCCCATAGGACGTGGTGGCGGTGGAGAGGGAAAGGGCTGGGTGAGGGATAGGAGGGATGCTGCTCCCTTGCTATGGGACTGAGGTGAGCTGTGCCATGCAAAGCCCTGGGATGTTCTAGTCGGCCACTGCGTCCTCTCTGGTGAGGCTTGTGCCTGGAGCTTTCCTGGGCCTAGCCATGGCAGCGGGGAATTGCTTCCAAGCTGGAGCAAGCTCATTACTACTCAAGCAAGGTGCAGTTCTGAGACTCTTGTCTTCTACTTGTTTTCTAGCCCTGACCCTTCGCTTCTGTAGGCTCCTTGTTGCCAGCTGTGCAATGAAGCCATTTGCGTACCAAGATCCCCCACCTTACAGCAGGAGATGGAGCTTTCTGCTAACCAGGATGCCCCCCACAAGCTGCTCGTCCTGACACAGCACGGCTGTTCCACACCACCATGTTTCATTCCCGCTTTGCACGCATAAAAGCCGGACAGCGGCACAGGTGAAGAACAGCAGGTCCCTAATGTGGAAACCAAACAGCACAGAACTGCGCCCAGATCATCTCGGCCCCGCTGCAGATACCTTGTTCTCCAAACAACGTCCTTCCTTTATGTGGACTGCCCAGCTTCTCTTAGCTGATGAAATTGGTAATCTTTCTCGAGATGTACATGCTGCTTCCTGTTCGCTACCATATAAAACCCCAGTGCTGGCTCAGCCTGTCCTCCACACGCAAAGACTGTTGGCAGGACAGACGCAGCCTGTGAGGACTTGCTGTTCCAGGTGAGCAGGTGCTAAATTAGCCGCACGGGTTCCTGGCAGGATTCCTCTCACTGCTAGGTTGGGTTGGGTTGTCCCGTGGTTTTTTTTTTTTCTTTTCTTTTTTTTTTTTTTTTTGGCTGTGTGAGATTCTCTCCCTTCAATTTTTAGAGATATCATCATAGATGAAGCAGGGATTTCTTTAGCATCTGCTTGGATGTGTTTCTGTGTGCCATGGAGATGGCTTTGGTCACCGCTAGATGAGTTCTGAACTCTTCCCTTAGGTGAGGTCTGTCCACCCGATTGTGAGAGACACCAACTTTAACAGCCCCTTTTTCCCCCTGCCTCCAGCTCCTCTCATGCCACTTATTTTCCAGATAGGGGAAGGGGCTGTTGCAGCAATCCCCAGTGCTTATGATTTGGTGTGCTCAGTGTTCAGTACTGTGCAGAGTGGCATACCTGCTTCCTCTGATAAACAGGCTGGCTGTAACTGGTTGCAGCCAGCAGGAAACCCTTGCAGAAACGTTGCCCCAGCCTGCGTGGACAACGCAGGACCCTTGCGAGGGGTTCTCGGTGCTTTCCACTGTAGCAGTGTTTTTTGCCACAGTCTGAGGTGAGGGTATTAAGTGAGGTTCCTGTAGCCCCTCTTTAACTGCGGATTGATACTTGGAGACACTTTAAGCCTAGGGCTGATCTCTGCCCCTCTCCCTTGCCGCGGGTGCGTGAGTGTCACTCCACGGGCAATAGGAGGCTCCTAGACCTTCCCCATGTTGGTCTCTCCTGCTACTTCAGATTCTGCTTTCCCCTGTGCTGTGGACACTTAGGGTGATGTTTTGGGCAGTGAGAAGTTCCATCTCTGTCTCTGGGAGGAACAGGGTCCAGCTCCTTCCTGCCCTCTCCTTTTGGTACGTCACAGCTTGGCTTTGGGTCCCCAGGGAATTGGTACACCCGTCCTCTCCCTCTCTAGCCCTTTGCACTTGTGACTCCCAGTGCAGGGGAAATCTTGTGTGTTTGCAGAGCTTTTTTCTTCCTTTTGAAGCAGAGCACTCTGTGGTCACAGACCTGAAGCACTCGGTGTCTTCTGCCTCCAGAGAAAAGTGTTAATTCTTCCCATTCCCTCTCCTGAGGGCAGGATGCTCGAGTGGCTTCCACCCATCTCCAGCTCTTAGAAGGCTGCAGTAGAGGCCCAGGATTGGGTGGTGCAGACTGTACCTTCCTTGCTGTGATCTGGTTCCCTACTCCCTTTACAAACAGCGTGGGGGTCAGCCTGCCTGTGCCCGGGGCTTGCAATGAGAATGAGAGCAAATCCCCAGCGCCAGCATGCTCAGTAGGACACAGCAGCAGCACTGAGGGAAGCTGCCGCAACACAGTTGCAGCTCCCCAGCATTTCCCGTTCTGAATTCTTGCAAAACGCAATGAAGAACAAATCAAGGAAGCTGGGGAAGTTGGTATTTCCTTGGTGATCAGGAAGGGGAAGAATGGCACAAGATCAAGTGCTTTTTTTCCATCCCGTTTCCCATAGAGGAGCGAGAGCTGCAGGAAGACACAAACCCCAGTATTTTGGGGCTTTTACGCCACACACTCTTTTTGTGGAGCTCCTGGTCCCAGTGCGAGTCTGGCAGAACATCCCATGGGCCGGTGTAGATTATTCTCTGTCACAGCTTCATTCTGAAAAAGAAGAGAGTTGCTTGTTTGATGCCTGTGCCTGTTCTGGTTAGGCTAGCAGCTTGGCCCTGCCCAGCCCTGAGGATGTCACAATGCTGCTACCCCCTGTCCCAGGGTACTCAGCGTGTCCAGTCTCCATGCTGAGGGTGTTGGATATGCTGCTCAGGGTGGAAAGGTCCATTTGGATGGAAAATGAGATGATACTTTCTAACTGAGTTTGGTTTCCAGGTTGGGAGCTGTTGGAGAATGGACTTCTCAATATACAATTATACCTCCAATTATTCTGGCCTTGATGACTATTCTATATATGAACTTGATGCCTATGAAGTCTCTCACAGCTACCGGGCAATTCTAGCGCTGTATGCCCTCATCTTCCTCTTGGGTGTGCTGGGCAATGGGGCCGTCATCTGGGTGACTGGCTTTGAGATGAGGCGCACAGTGAATGGCATCTGGTTCCTCAACCTGGCCGTGGCCGACCTGCTGTGCTGCCTGGCCCTGCCCTTCCTGGCCCTGCCGCTGGCTCGTGACCACCACTGGCCGCTGGGCCCCCTCTCCTGCAAGCTGCTGCCCTCCCTCACCATCCTCAACATGTTTGCCAGCGTGCTGCTGTTGACGGTCATCAGTGGGGACCGCTGCGCCCTGGTGATGCGGCCAGTGTGGTGCCAGAACCACAGGACACCAGCACTGGCCCGGGGGGTGTGTGTGGCCGCCTGGGGCCTGGCAGGCATCCTCACCATCCCATCCTTCATCTTCCGGACCACGCGCACTGATGTCTTCTCTGACAAGGAGACCTGCGTGCTGGACTACACGTCTGTTGGGGTCCACCAGCGCCTCACTGAGCTCTTCACGGCTGTCTTCCGTTTCCTTTGTGGCTTCTTGGTGCCCTTTATAGTGATCACTGCTTGCTACAGCCTGCTGCTGGTCCGTGTCCGCAGCAAGCGCTTTGCCCGCTCCCAGAAAGCCACCAAGCTTATCCTCGTAGTGATCGTCAGCTTCTTCGTGTGTTGGCTGCCTTACCACATCGTGGGGCTGATCCTGGCCTCTACCCTTCCTCACACGAGCTTGTTCAAGGGTGCCTTGGAAGCTGACCCCATTGTCGCTGGCATAGCATACATCAACAGCTGCCTCAACCCCATCATCTACGTCATCATGGGCCAGGACTTCAAGGACAAGTTCCAGCGGTCCTGGAGAGCTGTGCTGCGCAGTGTGCTGAGTGAGGACTCCCCCAGCACCATGGGGGACAGCAGGATGAAGACCAAGTCCACAGTGGACGACCAGAGTGTCAGCACCAACGTGTGACATGGCGTGGCTCCCATTGAGATGTCTGGGGTACTGGCTGGGAGTGGCTCCAGGGGAGTGCTGCTTCCTGCCATCCTGGGGGTCTGGGTGGCCACTGCAGAGCGAAGATGTGTCTTTTACCCTCCTTTCCTCCTGGGAACTGGCTACTTTGCTTGTAGGCTGGGGAAGCTGGAGGGTTAAAGCAGCTCACATGCTGCCAAATTTGTGCATCCAAATACCCAGCTCCTCTCTGCCTAGGGGTCTCTTCATGGCTTTCTCTGTGGCTGCAACTCTCCCAGTGGTAAAAAGACTCCTTAGAGTGGACCTTTTTCTTGCAGACTCCTGCAATATCCCCTTCTTCCGTTTCTCCTCCAGGCCAAACTTTGACCCTGTTCTCTGTCTCCAGGTCCCTGCCCTCTGTTCCCTGCGCCAGGTCCCCTCTCAGCCCCGTAAGAGCTGTGCTGCCTGGCAAACCCCACTGACCCACGTCCCTGCAAGCAGGCCAGGGCCTTACGATCGGGGATGTCAGAGATGAACTCCATGTGGTGATCTTGCCCCAAGCCTCCAGTACTCCCAGGCCTCAGGAGTCGGCCCTCTCACAGTCTTAGGTCCTCCCAGGTACGCAGGGGCTCGGTGCATCCCCTGCCTGTCACCTCGGAAGGGGCCTGCTGCTGTTCACCCCTGGCTGACCGCCTGGCTCAGCCCTGCTTCTTGACTGTAGATGTGTCCAACTTTGCAAATAAACATTGAACCTGCTGTGGCTTATGTCTGCCCCGTTCCTGATGCAGCCCTGTTCGTCTGGGAGGGTGGGAAAGCAGACCAGCCCTTTCTAGGCGGCTCCTCCAGCTTCAAGGTTCTCCTTTCTTTGGCCTGATACTGCAGGGTAAAACGGCCAGGGATGACGGAGTCAGTGTATGGGTGTGTGCAGTGCCGGTGGGTGGGGAGAGACATGGTGCATGAGGCTGTGCCTGCCTAGTCTGTGAAAACAGCTCTGTTTGGGTAAAGGCTCTCCACGCTGGCACAGCTGTCCACCACACACAACGACCTTCCCTGGGACCTGGCAGAGGAGCTTGCTCCTTCCCTGCCAGTGCTTTTCTCTGATTGTGAGCTGCTGCAAGAGGGACTTTGGTGACTGGTAAGTTTGCCATTCAGCATTTAAAAAAAAAAAAAAAAAGCTAGATATTTCCAGGGGGAAATGAGAGGCACTCCCTGCCCTGGATGGCTCCTGCTCCCACTCAGAGAGCTGCAGGCTGCCCTGGGACTACACAGGAGCAGTTCCTGTGCACATGTGGCTTTCTGACCCAGCCACTGATGTGTGTGCAAGCCTGGTAGTAGGGGCTTGGGAAGGAGTGGTTGTGCTGACTGCTAGCATACATGAGTTCATCACTGTGGGCATGTTGTAAGCGGAAGTTCAGCAATATCCAGAAATGAGAGTTTCCTCTGTGTTATGGTCTGTGCAGCACATGAAGCAGAGCCCTGCCTTGATTCCTCTGCATGGTGGCTGGGCAAAGAGCGTTCCTGGCACAACAGGCCCATCTGGTTTTGCCACAAACCAGGTCCTGAGACCAGATTCATCCTGGCACTGTGGGGACTGGATGGGAGTCTGGGATGGATGGGACAGCAGCCTAGATCTGCACCTGTGCAGTAGTGTAGAGAGCATTGAGCAAGGCTTGCTCCCTTAGTTCTCCTTTTCAGCTGTTTATTTTGAAGCTCATCTCCAGGGCTAGGGCAAAGTAGGGAGATTTTTTTTGCTGTCATAGTGGATTTTAGTTTGCTTGTGACACAATAAACACCGCAGTTTCCCCCAGTCCCGGAAAGCAGTTGCAGGGGCTGGCAAAATTTAGCCTGTGGTCAAGCTCCTGGAGTGTGGAAAGAGCGGAGGTTTCACAAGCTCCTGCTGGTGTCTGGCCATTTGAGGGGCTATGGGTTACTCTCCTGCTGCATAGCAGCTTGCGGGGGGCAATCCCCCTCTGTGCAACCTCTCCTTGCACCAGCGTAGGAGGGAATTGTAACCAGCATGGAGAGGAGGATGTCTCTGCCTCTGTGGCAGGCTGCCTTCTCGCTGAGCACCGTGGGCCTCAACAGGGGCTGGAGGGAGCCCCTCTCGCCTCCTCCCACCTATGGAAAAGCAAAACATCAGGCCCACCCCTGGAAGGGCCAGAGGGGAGAGCTAGAGAGCCCCATCTCGGGTGACATTGCTCAACATCTTCATCAGTGACCTGGACAATGGGACAGCACGAACCGTTAGCAAGTTTGGAGATCATGCCAAACTGGGGTGGGGGGGGTCGAGCAATAACCCAGAGGGCAGAACTGCCGATCTTTTATCAGACTGTAAAAAGGGGCTGACAGGACCCTCGGGGAGCAGGACAGGCCGGGTCCGCTGGACAGAAGGTGCCGCTGCAGAAAGGGGCGCGGGACGCGCCCGTGCGGCGGCGAGCGCCAACAGCATCCTGGCCGCGTTTGCCAGCGCAGCCTGCCTTGCGGGCTCGGATGGGGGCCCGGGGGCCTCTCCCCCCTGCTTTTGTCCGTGATGCTGTCAAATCTCGGACTGAAGTTTGCAATGCTTCCTTTCTCTTTGCTCCAAGTGTAGCTGCGTTACGCTGTTTTTAGTCGCAGATTTTTTCATGAGGCCGAGCGAGCAGACGCCCCCAGCCCTGCCCTCCTTTTCCGCAGGACAGAGGGAGTAGGTAGGGGTCTCCTCTGAATACAGCTGCCCCGTGGGCGCCGAGGCTCCTTCCCTCCCGTGGGCGGCAGC